ACATGATGGGTACGCCTGCGACCCAACAAGACAAAACAGAGAAAGAGAGAGAGAGAGAGAGCGCGGGAGTGCTTGGGCCTCGCCCGCCTCCTGCAGAGTAGCGGAGGGCCGCATCAGGCAGATGACCCAACTGCCTACACGGCAGCGACGCCACCTTACCAGCGGCGTCATGCCTCTCGCCTCCGCTTCGGTGACAGGGCGCCCACGGTCGCTTGGTCTTGCTCGCCTCCTCCTGCACCTCCTCCTCCTCCTCCTCCTCCTCCTCCTCCTCCTCCTCCTCCTCTTGTATTATTAGTATTACTAGTATGATTATTATGATTATTATGATTAGTACGATTATTATGATTATTATTTGTATTATTTTGATTCGTGATAGTATTAGTATTAGTATCATTAGTACTATTAGTATTAGTATTATTAGTACCCTTATTATTAGTATTATTATCATTATTATTAGTATGATTATTATTCCTCCTCCTCCTCCTTCTCCTCCTCCTTCTCCTCCTCCTTCTCCTGCTCCTCCTCCTGCTGCGATGCTGGTTGTTGCGGCCTGCCCTGTGCAGGACTCGGCGCGCGTCCCTCTGCCCCCCCGCCCCCCCTCACTCCTCGCGGCTCCTCCCCGCAGGTCCCCTGAGGCCTCCGGATCCGAGGAAGCCCCCAATCGTCCCCAACCACGATCCGCGGTCCTCCTCCTCCTCCTCCGCCTCCTCCTCCCATCCTCCTCCCTCCCCTCTGCCTCCTTCCTACTCCTCCTTCCCCTCCCCTCTTCTCTCCTCCGCCTCTTCCTCCTCCTCCTCCCTCCTCCTCCTCCTTCCTCCTCTCCGCCTCCCTCCCTTCTCCTCCTCCGCCGCCTCCCCCTCCTCTCCCCTCACCCTCCCCCTGCTCCTCCTGCTCCTCCTCCTCCTCCTGCTCCTCCTCCTCCTCCTTCCTTCCTCCTCCTCCTCCTCTCTCATGCGGATGATGAGACGGATCGAGAATCGAAGAAACCAAAGGATCATCGAGGAAGCCCCTCCTCCTCCTCCTCGTCCTCCTCCTCCTCCTCCTCCACAAGATCATCGATCCTCCTCCTCGAAGATCTAAAGGGATCAGGAAGGAGAATGAGATAGAGATCGAAGATCCTCCCCCTCCTCATCCGCCTCCTCCTGCAGATGATCAGACGGAACGAGAATCGAAACCAAATAATCATCGAGGAAGCCCCTCCTCCTCCTCCTCCTCCTCCTCCTCCTCCTCCTCCTCCACAAGATCATCGATCCTCCTTCCCAAAGATCTAAAGGGATCAGGGAGGAGAAGGAGATAGATATAGAAGATCCTCCTCCTCCTCCTCCGCCTCCTCATCCTCCTCCTCCGCCTCCTGCTCCTCCGCCTCCTCCCCCTTCCCCCGCCTCCTCATCCGCCTCC